ACACACACACAGTGTGTGTGTTTTATTCTTATTCATCTTTTTAATATTGCTTCAGTGTGGAACAAGTGCACAAAGCATTTCACTGCGCGTTATACCATGTATAACTGTGTTTGTGACCAGTAAAGACCTTGAATCCTTGAATTGTAGTGGTCCAGTCAGTGAAGGCCTTCATCAGGCTCCTGTACTCACCTTTCTGCCCATGGTTGACACATGAGTATTTCTGAATGTGGAAGGTCTCTGATCTAAAGTCACGATTCTGTTCCACCATAGCATATCAGGCATTTTCTCTAAGCCTGGTGCATGAAGCAGGACATTTTAATTACAGCATATTTTTGTGGTTTATATCTTGACTGAGGAATAGAGGTCCCACAGGACATCGGCTAACTTTATGGTCTCAGTCTCTCTACTGTTGCTAACAGAAACTGCTGAAACTTTATTTATTTATTTTTTTAAATAGACGGCATAAAGTGTTGAACTCTTGAAGTGTGGCACAAGTGTTTTTACACGTATGTGCAGTCTTTAACTAAAAAACACAATGGTCTGTGGCTCATTCCAAACTTTTTTCCCCTTAACCCTGGTCACGTTTTACAGAACAACTTCACACCACCGCCCATCGTTCAGACCCAGATTCAGTAATACACATCACATGTTACACATCACAATGACCATGTAGATGAAAAGGCTCCGTAATTGTTACGATCATTTTTTTCAAACTTTCCTCAGGGCAGGGATTGTGACCTGAATAGGCTAACTGACTACACAAATCTCAGAAGAGGATGAAGTAAGATCCGGCTAGTTCATAGCTCAAAGAAAGGTTAACTTACAGTGATTAATTAGTATGCTTGTTCTTTTCCTCAAATGGCAACACTGTCACAGAAAGCTGATTTGCTTTCCAGTGCGCCCCGCTGTCTTTAAACGGTTTCTTGTTTCCACATTGTCTGTTAGCCGAGGACACTTAAATGTCATCTGCAATAAAAGCAGTTTTTGTACTTTGTGAAGTTATCAAAATTACTACAAATGCATAAGAATAACAAGCTCTCATCTCAGGATTCTTGTCGCCTGCTTACCTAGGTGTGCGGACTGACCCAGAGAACACACTGCCCAGCTTCACTGTTTGCTATTATACTGTATATAAATACTAGGAGTGCAACAATACACAAAATTAATGGTTCGGTTTGGTTTAATACGTTTTTGTCATGGTTTGACACTTTTTCGATACAAAAAAAGAAAAATTTCCTTACCTTTTTTATTACTTGTTTTTGAAAAAATAAATGTATCTGATGGAGAAATCACCCATTCTAAGCAGTGCATTCTTAGCGTGAAAGAATAGATGACAGCTCGGAAAGACGGCATGCAATAGGCCTAGGGCTAGCACCCCAACGGACTGCACAGAAAAGCTACAAGTACTAAATGAAGGAAATACCCCCAGGCAGACCAAGGAGGAGGGGAGGATAATCTGCAATCATGAACAGATCACATGGAAACGGACCCGGACAACGGTATAAGGATTACGGACTTGGATGTGGCAAGACAGGAAGGTGAGTCAAACAGAAGATGCACCATATGTGGTAGGATTTTTAAGAACGAACGTGGCGTGAAAATTCACCAAGGCAAGTCCAAGTGCAAAGAGAAGTTGAAGCAGCGCAAAGCATCTAATACTACTCAGAGAGCTATCTCAGAGTTTATTAGCTCAGCTTGTCAGTCGATGGAGGTCCAGGGTCAGGAGACACACCACAGTACTCCGGACCTCCTTGCCGAACCTACTCCGAGTACAAGGACAAGCCATGAATTCCAAAGCTTGGAAGGCTTGCAGAGGAGACCAAATTTACCACCAGCCACAGACCACAGATTGACGCAACTGGATGAAGACCTAAGCATCATCCTGGATAATAAGTTGAAAGGAGATGCGACTAAGAAGATAAAGACATTGGTGGACACTGTGTATGGAACGTGCTATGACACATTTGGAGTCAAAGAGGGGAAACTTGCCAGAGCTCCAGCAGGCACCAACAGAAGGCAACGTCAACCACTACAGCAAGTCTGCAAATCTCCGATTACCATTCTCCTCAGTTGCTGAAGAATTCAAGGCTACCAAGGCAAGGGCAGCCTGCACACTGCAACTGTCCAAGGATGAGAAAGTCCGACATGCAAGTAGTGCCATTAAGTGTGGCAGGAAATGGAAAC